TAACTGTGCAGATAGAATGTGTGATGACCTTAGGCATAGTAATGTAATAAATAAATTGTATAATGACATTGTTCCGGTTATAAAAGATGCTTCGGCAAACAGTTTTAAAAGAAAAGTAAATAGAAAGCAAAATAATGTGCATAAAGTTGTGATGGGTTGGAATAAGCATGTGGAAGAGGCGCACAAACAAGCTAAATTAGACTTTGAAATGTATGTATCTTATGGTAAACCAAACAGTTCACCAATGTATGATAAAATGTGTCTCAGCCGTAAGATTTTTAAATCTAGGCTCAAGTTCTGTCAAAACAATCAGGAGCAGATTAGACAAGACATGCTTGCGTCACAACATGCTTCAAAACAGTTTGACAAGTTCTGGAAAAGTACTAAGAAATTTACTTTAAAGCCAAACATGCCAGTCAGTGTTGATGGTTGCAGTGACCCGTCAAGTATTGCCAATGTTTTTAAGGACCATTATAAGGTCGAATCTCCACTTGATTCCTGTGGGGGCCCCTATATATATATCTAGTAAGGATGTTTTACTTGCAATTAAAAATATGAAACGAGGTAAGTTTCCAGGGCATGACGGTCTCAGCATTGAGCAGTTACAACACGCAGGCCCACACAAATATAGACTTTTGTTTATGTTGTTCACTTTGCTGTCTGAGACACACATACTTACCTCCGGACCTAATGAAAACTGTTGTCATACCTTTAGTTAAAAACCGTACAGGTGATATTGCAGATAACTACAGACCTATTTCCTTAGCAACTGTGATAGTAAAAGTCTTAGATAAGGTAGTGGACAATCACCTTAGCAGCTATATAAACTTGGAAGACGCTCAGTTTGGTTTTCGGGACGGTATGTCAACAGAAAGTGCTGTACTGGCATTAAAATACGCTGTAGGCTATTGAGAGAAAGACACCTATATACGCCTGCTTCTTAGATTTATCAAGAGCATTTGATTTGGTCTCATATAACATACTCTGGCCTAAATTAGTAAACATTGGTGTCCCTCTTGACGTTGTCGGCTTGCTGTCACATTGGTATAGCGGTCAGAAAAATGTTGTTAAATGAGCGAATTCATTTTCTAGCGAATACACGCTTAAATGTGGTGTGAGGCAGGGTGGACTGAGTTCTCCTAGACTTTTCAACATATATGTGAATCAGCTGATCGGTGAGCTCAGGAGCACAAATGTTGATTGTCGAATAAACAATATTAGTATTAATAATATCAGTTATGCTTATGACATGCTGAACCCATCGATCAGTGATCTGAGAAGGATGCGGAATGTGTGTAAAAGTTATGCCGTGAGGCATAGATGAAGGTACAATGAAAAGAAGAGTGAGTTTCTTGTTTTTAAATATAAAGACCTAAATAATATACCACCGCTTCTTCTAAATGGGGTACCCTTGACTCGTGTCTCTCGGTTTAAGTACCTAGGACACATTATTAGTGAAAATCTTGGAGATGATGATGATGTTCAGAGGGAGCGCAGGGCGTTGTCGACACGCGGTAACATGTTGGCACAGAGGCTTCCAAGGTGCTACGTAAATGTAAAAATAACTCTTTTCAGAGCTTACTGCCAGAATTTTTATACAGGTGCACTGTGGACCAACTTCACACAGCGAGCGTAAGTACAACGCCTTGCGTGTAATGTACAATAACATCTTTAGGGTTCTGTTGAGGCTTCCTCGCTTTTGCAGCGCCTGTGGCACGTTTGTGGATGCGTGTGTTGACGACCTTTACGCAATCATGCGCAAAAAAAGTGCGTCACAGATGTTGCGATTGCGTGGGAGCACCAATGGTATCCTAAAGATGATATCAGGAAGAATGGAGTTTTGCGTACGTTCGCACGTGAATTTATAATAATGTATTTATAATAATAATGTCATTTAATTTAATATATTGTAATTGCTCTTCTTGTTTCGACTAACTTAGCTTGTAAGATTGTTTCTAATAAATATGGACTAATTGGTCTGAAAATAAAAATAATTTGAATTTGAATTTGAACTAACAAAAACATTACCGAAGCACTACATTATCTTTTGTTATAACCCGGGCGGATTAACTAGGTTTTAACTCACTGCTCATTTCTGGTTGCGACTCGTCCATTTCGCGACATTGGGTTTCAGTTTTTATGTACATAATACTTTTATTGGTTGTTAGAAAGTGTTATCTAACGACTAGTTCTACTTCTAAATTTTTGTCAGTTTATGGATTTGTTATGTCTGAAATAATTTTTTTTAGCCCCGCAACAACCACAAATTACACCCAAACTCACCCGGCACCATTGCGTGGCAGTCCGGCATGGTAACCGTTCGGCCACCGATGCAGTTACTATTATTATTATTATTAATGTAACACACATTTATTAGTGTAGAACGTATTTAAAATACTACCATAACAAATTCTTTGCTTTTTTCATTTGGTTGCTTTGAAATCTCCCAATTTTCTGTTTTCAGGTTGCTGGAAGGAGCACGTTGACCTACATTAACGAATGAGTAGTAAAGATTCTAAGAGGGGCCCCACACGGCCTGTGATTTCACGGGTCACGCCGTGCGAGCTCGCTTCAACGCACCGTGGGAAGAGTGCGACTTAGTGCCTACTGCTGAGTGTATCGCCAACAGTGCAAGCGCTCAGACAAGTCTTTCATTTACATTTAATCCTTGTATGTACAACCTCAGCATTCGGTTCCACACGACTGCACACGGCAGGCAATGTTATTTTTACCTCTCTGAGCGTGTGCTTAGGTTCCTTTTTCCTCGTAGTGAGCGCCTTGTGTCATTAGATATATGGAGTATGCTATTATAGCGTAAGTTTTTTCGATGTTGTGTGAGAGTGATGTATCTGTTACGAAGTAACTATAAAGTAATCTGTGGTGTGGGCCTGTGGCGCGAGCTCACCCGTACGAACCGGCGCGATGCGACGCGGCCCGTGATATCACAGGCCGTGGGAAGCCGCTTTAAAAGTACGTACAAATCTGCTGAACACGCCGCGAATGAACTGTATGTGTGTTGCGTGCGCTATGCACGCGTACATTTCGCCTCTGTAACATATTATGATATCACGCACTGTTCACGTGATGGCGCGAGAGCGGCGCGCGATCGGCACGCGACCAGATCTCTCTACGTAATGAACATGTGCATTCCGCGAGCCTCTCACAAACAGGCACATTCGCCAGATTTTTATGCACCCTTATATACTTTACGTTTTTTTAAATGTGTTTCATGACCTTTAACTATATGTTGCTATTATAATTTTTAAAGCGCACAAGAGGGCTTAATAGCCTCCTTGTATGAAACTCCATTGTTCGTCTGTAGTTTTCAGAACGATACAGATTTGACAAAGAAATCTGTCAGTTTAGTCAGATCCGCCGTGTATTATTCTGTGCAATAATTATGGTGTAATATTGAGAAATTTTATAATGTTGTCTCAGATCCTCTAACGTGAAAATGTTCAGTAAAATAATCATACTTATACACTATATTTTTTATTTGTTTGGTAGGCCTTCTGATGGTGATATACGTTCGAGATTCTTAATGTTATTAAATTAATTACAATAAATATATGTAAAAGCACCCCGCCTTTTGGCCTCGCCGAACTCGAGCAGAAAGTAGGTTAAAACATCGTTCCTCTTAGAAAGATAAAATGTTTTCAATTTGAGTTAAATTGCGAAATGACGGAGTCTTACAATAGAGATAAAAAATACCCAGTAAAAAAAATTCTATTATCTATCAAAAAAAGACGAGATATCTTAGATATTTCTATCTATTATCTTAAAAGATGTTATTAGTCAGTAGACTTCTGAATTGCTGGCTTTAAAAATGTGGGGCAAGCAATTTTTTGATATTGCTTTAGTTATATTCGTTACAAGTTTATGTGCTGTGGTTTGTGCGCCTCAGAAGTTTAACACGAAGTCCTTTAAAGTCGGAATTGAATATGATCGTAAGTATAGTTTAACTGACAAGGAAGATAAGGATAGTTTTCAGTTTCATTTATTGTGATAGTCTAATGCGATATGAAAAAGAAGATCACTCGCGTGTGATTATTTAGGCCAATTCGACTTAGCGGTATATTTAATGAAGAGAATAGAAGAATGAGTTGGCTCGATGAAGATGAAATGTTTTTATGTAACGTAACAACTGCATCAAAATCATATTTCGCTGTAACTGTTTTGCAGTGCACTCAGAGTTTCTGATATGTGGGGCACTGCCACTGCACCCGTCATCTTGAGATATAAAGTTGACAAGTTCTATGTGCCTCTAACAAAAACGGGACGCAACATCACTGCCTGGCAGCAGAAATAGATATGGAGGCAGTACTTCCGTGGACTAACTCTTTTACGAAAGAGTTTAATGTTAAAAAATACATTATGTTTACTAAAATACCACAAGAAATTATAATTAACTTATAATAGTATAACAGATAGCCTAGATATTATAGTCCCACTGTTGGGCACAGGCTCTCATAATATGACGGCTTGGCTGTAGTTCTTATACGTGGTAACTTGCAATAGAATAGAATAGAATAGAATAGCATAGAATTATTTATTTCGGACCATGATCCATAATAATGTTAGTAATACAGTAAATTTTTCTTACGTGCTATGGTTAGTACAATACAAAATTACTTAATTTTAGTGAAAAGAAGTGAAAGTCTAGACCTAGTACCCTACGCACGTGTAGTTGCACCCAATGTAGTTGGTAGGGGCAGTCCAGCCTATTGGCAACAACGGCTATGATGCTATTAGCGTTGCCGCGCACACGCATCATAAGTGAGGCAGATTTCTTGCGCATAATGGCATGAAAGCCATCTGTGTGCGCCTCCGTGAACATGATGCCGGATGCACTACAGTATCGCGGCAGCCCCATCAGAATCCTAAAAGCGTTGTTATATTGCACCCTTAATGTATGTATTCAGGGTTCTCTGTGTATACTTATAGGCAATAAACTGCCTCAGAGACCGAACGGTTATCATGCTGGACTGACACGTAGAGAAATAATATGGCCTACATTTATTTCTCTCGTGATTTGGGTGTAATTTGTGGATGTCTATGTGTGTGCCCATGGCACCCGCGATACAGGGTTCCCCTTTTGCGAGGCTGTGAGTGTGTGCGTTATATATATATTTCATGATTCCAAGTGACGGAATGAACAAGTCGTGCGCCTGGTGGTAAGCGACACGCCTGTCCATAATTGTTGCAGTGTCACTCAGAGCTCTAAATCGCAAAAATCTTAGGGGCACTGCCACAGCGCCCGTCCTTTAGAATCATAAGTTGGCAAGTCCCATGTGGCTATAATTTCACAACAAAACCGAAACTCAGTTATACATTACTGTTTGGCTAACAGTACCTACTGCCCTTGACGAACTCTTGTACAAGGAGCTCACTTGCTATTAAATCTTACTTACTCATTTCAGGTTTAATTTGCAAGTAAGTAATTAGTCGACTATAATTATTTTTATTTGTTTAAAACAGGTTTGTTGAGGATTCGACGTTTGATTTTATGTTCTTGTAAATTTTGTAAACGTTAATTGAAAAAGTTTTTTTATTCATTAAGGTTTGGTTCAATTAATGTTAAACTGTTACGACTTTACAATTTCCAGCTGTTTCTTCTTTGCCAAAAAAATTTTAAAAAAATCGCTTTTTGTTTAATTTCGTTTAGTTGTCTAATTTTTTTCAGTAAAGATGAAATAAGGCTGCATTAAGTCGATGTTAATTTGCTACTTTAGTGTCGCCTCACGCTGTTTCCGGGCTGCGCGATACGGCGCGACAATGCGATACAAACTTTATTTATATTTATCATCTACACAATAATGTTGGGTTTGGCAGAAGAAGCATGAAAGCAGAATTAATGCAGTAGAAATGAGAGCTTTGAGGAGTATGGCTGGAGTGACTCGGATGGATAAATTACGGAACAGTGTGATAAGATAATGGATGCTTAGATGGTTCGGATATGTAGAGAGAATGAATGAAAGAAGAGTGACGAAACAGATTTATAAGGCGAGTGTGAGCGGGCAAGTTGGTATGGGCCGACCAAGGAGAACTTATCATGACCAAATTGAGGCCATCTTAAAGAAGGGCCAGATCAAGAGTACCCTTAACCGACGAGCGTGTATGAAAGCATTGATGCGTGTTGATGAGGCGAAAGATGTGTGTCAGGACCGTAGCAAGTGGAAGACTGTTGTCTCTGCCTACCCCGATGGGAAAAAGGCGTGAAGTATATGTATGTATCTTCACAATAAGGCTACATTCCTCTAAACAAAAACGAAGATATAGCAGAAGACTTCGTCAGAAATAGGTAAGGTGGCAACCTTACCTATTTCTGCCGACGAGCAGTAATGTAAATGGGTAAGAGTGCAGGTGAAATTGCTGGCACATGGACTTGTCAACTTATGTCTCAGGGTGACGGGCGCAGTGGCAGTGCCTGTCAGATCTTTATGATTTAAAGCTCTCAGTGGCGCTGCAACTGTGCCACTTGGTATGATAGAAAAAAATATAATAGATTTTTTAAAAACAGCACTATTTTAATAAGCGAGCCGGTGTATGTAGTAATAATAAATGTTGGAAGGCACTCGTAGATTTGTGAAAACATATTACCGTAGAAAAGTGGCCAGCCAGTCGGCTTTCTATCCGATACAATTTCGAGAGCACCGGAAGTTTTCAATTTATTTCCACCCCTCACCGTTCCTCCTTCTGTAGACCAGAAAGCCCGAAACACTCCATCCTTATGTCGTTGATTTGCCACCCATTCGCACGAGTCACTTGGAATTTATCTGTATTTACCGAAAACTACAATTTGAGTATATTAGATATACTAGAGAGAGTAGATTTTATTTGACAAACGCGAGCAATTGTCGGTCACATTGCAGCCAAGCATGCTTCTACATCAAATGAAAATTCAAATTATTTATTGCTTCCATGTTGTTACATAGGTCTTAAGTTAGATAGTACAGATCAAACATGAACCCTGTATGTGCACAGCAATGTCAATCGTTAAATCTAAATTTGTATTACACATTTTTCTATGTGCTTGCGTCGTGTCTTTGTACTTGGTTTTTCAACGACTTTTTAGTCGTAGCGCCATCTATGAGAAATCTTTGACAGATTTATCACCCAGTTAGTACCTTTACAGCTACCAGTCCTGGCGAGAGATGTCGCTATTCACTGTATTAATTAAATTTTTATTGAATTGATATTCAATTATTTTTTGTGAAATTACTCCACTAGTTTGTTATAATTATTAATACAAAGATCGAACACTCAGAGAAAACACTCAGAAAAAATTCCTTCGATCCGGTCGGATTCGAACCGACGTCTTCTTGCATACCGTGCCAGACGCTATACCAACTAACACTGGTAGCTGTAAAGATACTAACTGGGTGATAAATCTGTCAAAGATTTCTCATAGATGGCGCTATGACTAAAAAGTCATTGAAAAACCAAGTACAAAGACACGACGCAAGCACATAGAAAAATTTGTATTACACATTTTACGTTATTTTTTAATTTGATGTTCAATAAAAATAAATACGCACACACTCAACATAGCCCCGCACTAGGGAAACCCTGTGTCGCGGGTGCCACGGACACACACATAGACAAGCACAAATATTTCTACCGGCCCGGGAATCGAACCTGGGACCCCTGCGTGGCAGTCCGGCATGGTAACCTTTCACGAGGGCAGTTATTATTATGTTACATACATATGTGTTACAACAATTTTAATTAGATAATAACATTTATTTATCCATTACATTTTATTTATTTATTAATTTATTAACTGTAGAGGTGCAGATGTTACATTAAGCATAGGTACATAGAAAAACATATGAACCCTGCAGAGCACAGCAATATAGGAATGAGGCAGATCGACGCTACAGAAATTTATCGTCTAGATATTGTTGCAGACTCTACAATCGAACTTCGACACGCGCTACTCCGACAACACGGGGAGATGTTTCTTAAAAAAAATTTTGTACTCACGAAAAATCGCACAGTAAAGCTCGTAGTTGGTTTCTTGAGATCCATATGGGACACCCTGTAACATCATACTATGTTTTATTAGCTCAGTTACTGTGTATGAATTAACGGGTTAATTAGCTTAGTTTCACGGTACATTAAATCTTAAACTGTAATACCATGTACATGTATTTATAATACATTATATGTGTAACAATCGCATAGGTACATGTAATATATGTTTCACCTCACTAGCTCGGAAAGGCTTTCTTTCTCATTAGAAAACTGCACGCAAAAGCGTTTTTTCCACGCTAGCGTGGAAAAGGTTTTCGAAATTCGAACTTGACGATGGACTGAAAAAAATAATGACACGTTCAACTACGCGATTTGTCGTACATTACGTACGACACGTGTACGTTTATTCTTATTATTGTTGACATTAAATTGACAGTGATAACTAATTGTATCTGAAAGCACAAAGCTTAAATTATTTTAATTCGTTGAAGAACTAAAATAATAATAATCACTTGATCTCACAAAATTACAGAAGTACAAGCAAGAATAAAAATGTAAATTCAGAACGCATCCGAAGAAAAACTTATGTTTTATAGTTCAACTGTTTTTCTTTCATCTACCATTTTCCTCGCTATAGTGAGGTGAAAAGTTGCGTGTTTCGCTCGGCAGCACAGTTTTTTGCGTCTCGTGCCATGAAACCCTCGCTATGCTCAGGAATCTATTTTTGAACGCTTCCCTCGTGGTTCAATCTTACCTTCCTTCTCTTGCACAGATTTCTATACAGGCACTCGTGTCAAACAGCATCTTTGCAGCCTTGCATAACAAATAACTATTTATGCTTTTTTATGATTCCAAGTGACGCTACGAACAAGTCCTATGCTTGGTGATAAGCAACGCCTGTCCATAGCAGTTGCAGTGCCACTTAGAGCTTCAAATGGCAAAGATCCCACTCGTCACCCTGTGATACAAGTTGACAAATCCCATGTGACTGTGATTTCACCGGCACACTTACCCTTCAAAAATGGAATGCAGTAATGCCCACATTACTTTTAACTGATTCCCGGTCTGGGAAAAATATGTGTTTGTGATATTTACTTCCCTGGTCAAATTCTTTCACATACACCTCTACTGCTGCTTTGTATTTGTCATTATCAGTTTTCACCACACGCGTCACGCTGGCCCAATACGGATTACCTTTGGCATACAGGTTACGTCAAATTCCCTAATTCCCCTGCTGTTAGCGAGGAGTAATGCCAGTTAAACATTTACCAATGTACGTTTTGTTGGTAAGTACATTATTGATATTTTATTGTATTTGTTTTCAGGTTCATTGCCGATGACCGGTGGCTCGGACAGATACCGGCACAGGAACAACTGCGACCCATTTTTCGTCACTGTCAATGTAACTGCAAAAGTAAGTATCAAATCTTTTAAAAGAGCTCTTTTAAAGGGAACTGTTTAAAGATTCAAATGTAATGTAAGACACAAAACAACACTTCTTTGCATTGGTGGGCATTTCAGTAGCAGGAAAGCTCCTTGTGAAAGGGTTCGTCATAAAGCATTAACGTGAGCCATCCTTTCATTCATCCCCTGGTTTGCCAACCTTAGAGGTGGATTATTTTCTTCAAAAAATCAAAATCGGTTCACCGGAGTTAACGCGTAACATACATACAAAAAAAACGTACGTTGAGAACTTTCTCCTTTTTTTGTAGTCTGTTAAAAATAATGACTTCAGTCGTGTTTTGATTTCTATTAAATGTTCTGGTATATGTGGCTTATATGAACGTTTTTGTCATAATTCAACCCTCATTTAGCGTTCTTCTGAGTATTGAGTATATCCATGATAAGTTCTCACTCGTGGGATTGTTACTTTTTGTCCATATATCTATCTCCAATAGGGAACTAATGTTACGTGAAAAAAAAAATAAACTTCATGTTTAATATAAAGCGGAATAAATCTTACAATTTCCACCAGGACAAAATTATTACAGAGGATTGTGGAATTATTAAGTCCTTTAAATTTGTATTGATGTATTTTTTTCTTTTTCAGAAAGGCTACGTAATATCCTACCTAGAAGCGTCAATTACAGTCGATGAGCTAGGCGAAGCAGATTTCATCCTCAAAGAGGGCCGTGCCGGCTCCAAGTATATGATCTTTCAGATGGTCTCAAACCATAGCGAATTTCTATCTTATTCCTATATGACATACGGCATTAAGGACGAGGAGTACAAAAAGGTAGCGGATGCCACGTTAACTAACGCTCACACTCCTTGTTAGGTCAGTTTTATTAACATCCTACCTTTACTTTAAATGGAAAATAAATTATTAAAAACTTACTGACAATATTTGTAAAACTGTTAGGAGCAGCCATCTAGTGTTCATTTATAGTACTACGCGCAAGCGTAAGTAGCTAGCTAACTTTGTATTACGTAGTTTTTAGAAATATCAATAGATGGCGGTGTATTAAAATGTAATATTAATGTAGAAGGCAAACCGTTTCAATTTCAGCACCACCTATTAAATTACAGGTGTACTACGTTGAGGAGTTTTAAGGATAATTGGTTCGTTAGTGTGATCAAAGAGGGAGTTACAGGAAATGTAGGGTGTGAAATGTTATTTCTTTGCATTTAAGAAATTAAATTATCTTCTTTACAGATAACGAACACCATAAATGTTCCGGTATCTCTGTGGAACCACAGCACAATGCACCACCTGAGTACATTATCTTTCATAATGTGTTTTATTATTTATCTTATGAGCCAGTATGTCTTAGATACGCTTAATTGACTCTGGAATATTTATTTCCAAAAACATTTTAAGGAAGTACTGAAGAATAGGTAATTTATAAATTTATGTTATTATAACTTGCATCCTTTCCAACACCAATGTTACTTAATTAATTTTTTTTTAATGAGACTTAAGAACGTATATAAGTAAGTGTAAGTTGTATTGTATACTTCCAAATATTGTTCGGGTTTCCCGTTTACAAAATTTTCTCGTAACGGGACATCTAGGATTATTATTTATTGACAATTATTATTTATTGTTTTTAAAGGAATACACATAAATGCAATAAAATTTTATTTCTATTCATTTTGAAAACTACTTCCCACGACGTCTCTAATCCCACAAACTGCCGTAACTAAGACGAATTTTTTGGAAAACAATTTTCAACGAAAATTGAAAACTAAGACGAATTTTTTGGAAAACAATTTTGAACGAAATACCATCTCCTCCGCCAACCACCAGCTCCCATAATAAACACTCAGGTAATTACAGAGACAGCGGCTTCAAAATTCTACAATTTAACCTAAAAAGGCACATCTAGTCTGGTTCATGACCAGCCAAAAATCTTGTAAGTCACTTTAATCAATTCAAAACATCACGGAAAGTATTTAACATTAGGCTAAGTTTTTTTTTATAATATCAACTGACGGGGCGAACAAGTCGTGCGCCTGATGGTAAGCTAGACGCCTGTCCATAACAGTTGCAGCGCCACTCAGAGTTTTAACAATAATAATAATAATAACGTTTATTGCAAAACATGTTGTTACATAATAGTTCTTATAGTAGTTTACAGTATCAAACATGTACCCTGTAAGGGCGTAGCAATGTCCATTTTTTAAATACACATTTTGATTACCATTAATTAAAATATCATTATAATGATAATTAAATCTAAACAAATATTTTCTGAAAAGTCAATGAATTAATTGGAAATAGAATGTTAAATTGAAGTCTAAGGTATTTCAAAAAAAATTAATAGTCAAATTATTCTAGAATTATATAATAATAGTCATAACATTTTTCATTTTATTAAATTACATAATTATGTCATATTTTTTTTAAAATATAGTTAACATATCAAAATTCCTTTTTATGACGTTATGAACAATTTTCCTTGTCATTAAAAAAATCTTGCAATGAATAGTAGTTTTAAAACGCAAAGATCTGAGGGACACTTCTACTGCGCCTGTTAACCTGAGACATAAGTTGACGTCTGAGTATGAGTCTCGGGGTGATGAGTTGCACCTACATTCTTCAAACTTGGAACGCAGTAATGCTTGGCGGCAGAAATAGGTAAGGTGGCAGTACTTCCCAAGACGAACTCTTTCACAAGGAACTCTACTGCTACTTAAAATAGGGTTTAAAGTAGATAAAGCGCCTCATTAGGTAGGTATTTGAATTGGCAATTAGTGGATAATAAACTTTCCTGATGCTGAAATTTTAAGCATCAGGGAAGTTTTCTTAGCTGTTTTATTAATTAATTTTATTCCAAATTTTCTAATGCAATAACTAAACCAAATCGGGGGGATAGAGCAAATCCGCGTATGTAGTATTGGTAAAAACAGAGAGAGGGATTTAACGTTATTACTTTGTTATTTCAATGGCTACAACCATTGACTTACAATTATATGGACGTCGGGTCCGCGCTAAAAAGTGTCCGAACTTATAGGGCGTTAAAATCGTATACAGAGCGTCATTCACGCTGACAGCGAAGCAAGAAAATTAGACAGTACTGCGATGACATTACAATTTGAATTCAACGTTTTAGCTTTTTCATATTCCTTTACATGTCACTACGTTTCAATAGGTTGACTTGGGACATTTTTTTCGTGGTTTTTGTATTAGACCCGTCGTCCATTTATTTGTAAGTTAATGGCTACAACCTTAGTTTTTGCACAGTAAGTATTAATTTATGTTGTCTACGGACTAATAACAATAGATTGCCCCGGGTGCACGTACAGTACCCTCTCAATTTTCTAGATCGGTACCGGAGCTGTAGGCACGCTCATTTCCCGTTGCGCATTGCACAACTAGCCGTTGCCACTCTGAGTCCACTACCAAATCTCCTCACTGTGCATTGGTGACGAAGCTGTAAGACACGCTCACTTCCCGACACCGAAAAATGACGTCTCTCCAGTTCCCAATAACCTAAGCGGCTGGAGGGACCGGAACCTATCTAGCTTATCCTCTACTAGCTCTCCGGGCTAATGCACGTACAGTACCCACCCTATTTTCTAGATAGGCACCGGAACTGCATGCACGCTCAATTCCCGTTGTGCACTCCGCAACTAGCGGTTGCCACCGCTAAGCCGTCGACTGCAAGTTACATACCACAAACACCCAGAGACAATATACAATAGTTTTCTACAATAACAAAGCCGGGGATTGAACCCGGAATTACAGATACTGACACCAAGAAAACCGGTGTGCAATTGCCATATTAAGTTGATATCGAAAATAAAAAATAACTTCCGATTGTTTTTTATTATTAACCTACTTCAAAAAAGGAGGAATTTTTTTGTTACGCGACTACTTTGACACTTATGAATCGATTTCGATTTTTTTTGTCCTTTACAAATAAGTCCTCAGTAGTGGTCTCCACAGAACAATAAATACAGTAGAATGGTTAGTTAGCGTCTGACGAGTCTCGGAAGACCTTCTTGAACTCACACCGCCATTTTCCTTTTGTATGTTATGATTGTATCATCTTCCGCGCAAATTCTCTAAAATCCCAGAAAAATGCCTTGCCTGCTGTTTTGGAGTGAAAAAATGATGGCTGCACCAAAAAACATTACCCGTAGTAGTATTTTAAATCATCGGTAAGCTTTATTTTAATAAATTTTCATTTTTCTGTTTATCTATTCGTTTTGATGTCAATCGTTCGCCGTAGTTCATCGTAGCAGCACGTTGAATAAAATTACATAAAGTCAAAATGTCGTAATTTACAATAAAGGTTTTGAACTTTCAACAATGAAGTGACTGGGTAAAGTTTAAATTATATTCACAATCCAGAATTTCTTACATCTTTTTATATTAGAAACTAAGACCAATCATTATCAAGATTTCATAATGTGTATCATTTGTTTGTGTGCGTTTTAGCGACTCATTGACTTACAAATAAATGGACGACGGGTCTAATACAAAAACCACGAAAAAAATGTCCCAAGTCAACCTATTTAAACGTAGTGACATATAAAGGAATATGAAAAAGCTAAAACGTTGAATTTAAATTGTAATGTCATCGTAGTACTGTCTAATTTTGCTTGCTTCGCTGTCAGTCGAACAGACGAAGACTAAAGCGTGAATGACGCTCTGTATACGATTTTAACGCCCTATAAGTTCGGACACTTTTTAGCGCGGACCCGACGTCCATATAATTGTAAGTCAATGGCACTTCTATTGTGTTTTTTCTTCCGTGCTGGTCTCATTCAAATTCGAAGTGAATATTTCACCTCTAAGGGTCGCAAATTAGGCAATGAATCCCGTTTGTTGAATTTTATCCACTTTCCGTTAACCGGTTTCAATAAAACTTGGCACATAGATGTTATGCTAATGAAAATAAAATGTTTTGGTGATCTGTAGTTGGTCTGATGATGAAAATGTTTTTTACGAGGACTTCCATTCTATGTACACACGTGGCACATAGACAACCACAAGTATGACACCCAAACTTCGAAACAAACAAATGTAAGTAATACAAATATTTCTTCCGGCCAGGGAATCGAACCCGGGACCTCTGCGTGGCAGTCCAGTCCACTTTTGATGTCGGTTTTGTTATACAAAAGTTCAGAGTGCCATTCAAGCCATAATTTTGCCTTAATTATGCTTCAGAGAACATAGATGAGGCATCTCCAAATATAAATGCAATGCATCGAGTATATAACCAGAAATAGAGACGAAATGTCATTTAATTTGTTTGTAAACTCTTCTGCCAAATCATTACGGTGACACTGCGCTCCGATTGGTCAGCCCGAATTCGAAACAATTGACGGGAGTCGTCAATTGTTTCACTTCAAATCTACTAGTTTAACTTGAGCTTTGCTATAACGGACGAAAATTGAAAACACTATGAAGCAAACGCGCCTCAAATGGGCAAAAGAACATAGACACTGGACTGCCGATGACTGGAATAAAGTAACTTTATAGCTGGAGTCAAAAGTGGTTTTTTAGCTGGTCGGCGACAAGTGAAGCCCAAGTCTTTAACGCGCCGACGAACTGTGGCAAGGGAAATGTTGACGCCAGCTTCTTGAACCAACTTTGTAAGAATCTGGCGAGGGGCCTTTCTATTTTCCACACAAATTTCCCTAATTTTTCTCATGTCACGTGGTGTAGTAATTTTTTTTCGGCCGCATTTGCTCACACGTTTTGGTGTCAACGCAATATTTTCAACGAGTTTTTTTTTTATTCGGTCGACTGATGCTCTCGATACCTTGCTAATTATTGCAACTTGTCTTTGTGAATGTTTGGTATGCTGCAATAAAGTTTTTATTTCGGAAATTTTCCTTGGAGAGAGGTCCTTAGCTTTTCCCATTTTAATAAATTTACACTGCAAAAAAATTACATAATAATAAAAAAAAACATTATTATTTCGGAGCAAAACCATTTAAAATATACTTGTTGAATACATTACCTTATTATAAACATAAAAAGAAACACAATTTTAACCTTAAACAACAAATTAACCTCAAAAACACTCACCCAAACAACGTGGCTAGCAAACGTCAACTGACACACAGACTGACTGTCTATGATAAAATGGTGTCTATGCAACAGATGGCGCACTCACAGTGTTGCCAGGTATAATTTTTTAACTAACGGATACACCTATTTCATACTATTAAAAAATAAACTTGCTAAAAATTATTTTTGAAATAAAATAAAGCATATTAATTTCGAAATTTAATAATTTTGCAAGTGGCTCTAATAATATGAGCCACCACTGTATTTATAAAACACTTAAATAATTCATTTGATACATATATGCAGTGATAAGCATATGCAATGTAATGTCTATTATTTACAACAAACAAAAATGGGACTTATTTAGTTATAAAAGACATCGATTGCGAGATTTGTGTCACGTGGGCGACGCAAGACGAGCGGGTAGGCGCGCGAGAGGGGTCCCCGGCTCACGAGCCACAAAGCGCGGCAACTCCGTCCAGCTCCGTTGTAAGCAAACAGGTTTCGTCCTGTATCGTAGGTACTTACCACGCATAATAGCGTGCTATTTCAGACTGTACTATTTCAGCTAATGTTCATATATGTATGGTGTTTCATTGACGTTGCACGACGAGAACGGGATATTTTTCTTTCTTTCACTCTTATTTAAATAATTAAACTATGCGTGCTAACCTAAACTCGACATTATGCCAATCGGGAAGTTAGAACCGTTCAATTCAAATTCTAAACAATGGCCAGCGTTATACGACGTGTAAATCAATTTATTTTGTTGAACGAAATAAAGGATGATTTAAAAGTGCCTATGTTAATAACGGTTGTAGGCGAACATACATACTCACTAATGTGCGATCTGTGTTTATAAAAGGTAAAGTGGTGAGCATATGGGACCGGTCTCGTACAAAGTGAACGTAGGAAATGGCCGCGAATAGCGTCGACACGTCGATCAAATAATTCTGATGGATCATAAGAAAAGTCGGCACTCGTTGTCTAGCATAGTTCCCTATAGCGAGAGCACATTGCGGGCATTCGAAATAGAAGAGTCTGTGTCGGTCAGTAAGGAGGCGGAGGACACGTTCGAAGACGCGTCTGACGGCATGGCTGAGGAAGTGCCCCCGCGAACGCTGAGACCGCACCAGCTACCGTGGGGCCGCTATTGCCGCCGCCGCAGGGCGCGTCCACCCGAGCACTGCGTGCCTATAATCGGGCTCAACGGGCTACGTCTCCACGTACAGATGATTGTATTTAGATTAAGGTTAGTTTATAGTTCTGTATTTCCTATTTAAAAGAGCAGAAGATGTAACGATCATCAAGAATTGTTAATGAAAATGTAGGTAACACAATATCATATGGTGGTGGGCATTCAGCTTAATTTTAATAAACCAGACAGTCGTTAACTCCGGTGTTTCACTGACGTTCCACATAATATTTAATTACCGATGAAATGTGATTCCGTTTGTTTTGTAATTAGATGTTTTGCTGTTTTTCTCACACCACCGAATGGAATAGCACCCCATTGTTTGCGATATTACCTTTATTACAATAAATACAGAATATTTTTGGAATATACGGAGACGTACACACAAGTCAGTTGTTGGCGCTGTACTATTTAAGCTTTCTAAATTTGTGATTTCACGCAAACGCGAGTTGATATTTAAAATATAAATAAAAAAAATATTTGCCTGCTGAGTTGCCAGGTATGGTTGGCCCGAGGCGGTGGCCTCCTTTTGTGCAGAGGTTATGTCGCAAAAGGAGGCCGCGGAGCGGGTGCTCGAGGACGCGGCGGACGCGCACCCGCTCCGGCGCAGACGTACGGGGAGAAGGCGAAGGCAGTTCGCTGCTCGCCTGATCCCCTAGTGAGACCAGCGGGCTTTGGACAGGGACTCCGGAGCCTGCATTGCACGGCCTCACTCGTCTGGGGGGCGGGTCGGAGGACAACCGACTCGCCCCTCCGTTGGCGCAGGAGCCCTGGCGTAAGCTAAGGCGGCCGGGCGGCGTCGTGGTGAATGTTCACTGATCCCACGACGCCGACTCAACAGGCGAGAGGGAAACCCGGGGGGGTTTTAGTGGGGTAGGCTCTCCAGTCTGGAGGGAGAGTCCCCACATAAGAAAATAAGAAAATGGATGGTTGGCCCTTATTTCGTCTCTATTTCTGGTTACATACTCGCTGGATCAATTAATGGTAACTAAATGTTAAAATAGTATCGTAATATGAATAACGTCAATAAACAATATCAAAAATTAGAAAATGAATTTAGGGATTTATCATTTAACACCCGGAAATCCATTTAAATAACAATAATTTACCGAAAGTACTAAGGTCAAAGAAAAAAATTGTTATTAAATAATAAAATGTAATAAATGTATCCGAATTTTTGGGTGCGTTAACTTAATTCATCTGAATTAGTGTCACCTAGGTGCATTAAGTTAACTTAAAACACCTGGGTGCATTAGATAAACATAAAAGTAAACTGTATTCACCACGATATTTAAGGACACCAGGATCCAACTCACGTGATTAAACCTGCATGTCGAAGAAGGTTCACAATGAAGTTCCCAACCCGCATTGGACTAGCATGGCGAGCTATGGCCTAAGCCCTCGCATGAGAGGAGACTCTACTCTTGGTGAGTTATGTTTACTAAAAGTGTATTAATGCACCTAAGTGAACTAATTCTGGTGAATTAAGTTAACGCACCCAGACTTCCTTATCTTATTTACTTAACATTATTCATTACTTATAGTAGAAGAGAAATGCATAATCCTGTTAATAACATTTCATTTTCCAGTATCAAGATCAATAGAATTAATTACTCTTCGGGCATTCGTCGACACTGATACAGACTCCTTTATCGTCACGTAGGAAACCCGGTACGCAAATGCACCCCCCGGCGCAGAGTGTAGTGCAAATTGGATCACGATCTACGCAAGTTGGCTGGCATTCTTTGCTACAGATGTCGTATACTTCGTTCTCATTTAGACATTGTTCTGGAAAAAAAAGTGCTTTACACAATTATTATTCACACGTATAGTTAATTAGATAGTTCATAGCGGTCATGGTTATGAGGGTGCTTTAATCAAATCTGTTGTTTATTTTTCAATCGAAGACTTATTCCCATTTGATCCCCTAGCACCGATCCCCTGGAGGATCCGTTCGGTTTTAAATTATTTTCTATTCCCATCGGATCCCCAATACAGTGGATCAAGAATAATTTTTAATACTTTATTCCCACCTGATACGCCGGTACTTCCAAGTTTATTTTTGGTAGGTACAGTCAACAAGAAAATGTATATCATTATATGTGATAATCGTAACATTAAACTACATTTTAAATATTGATCAAGACTGCAATATGCCAATATTAATGACCTGTCACAAAAAAAAATATTGTCTATGATAATTGTAACATTTGTTCATAATTCCCCAATAAATGAATATTTGATTTCAAAACTTCTTTTTCTCTTGAGCCATCGTGTACCGCGAATATTGTAGAAAGACTGCGACTTACATGAGTAACTTATAGCTTGTTTTGTTTGTACAGTCAAGAGCACGTCGGGCTTAACACTTTGTACTTTGGACTGTGCTTATCGTAAGCGGCATAGAGTTGGATTTAAATCTTTAGTGTCAAGCTTGACGTGCTCTTGACCATGTAATCGTCTTCAAGCAACGGCCTAGTCGGCACGCATTGGATTTTTTCATTGTGTCTTTAGCAAATCCGATTGTCGGACTCAAGTTTGTATGGAAAATTATGTCTTGTCGTATATTTGTGTGCGTCACGTGTAAATGTAGTGCATAAAACTTATTTTTATGGACTTTTCGGAGAGAAAATAAATGAATTAAGTATTAAGCGGAGAATATTAGACCAGCATTCGGTATTATGAGTGTTATTTTTTGCTAGGGTAGGCAGTGCCTTTGCCTGTATGAGGTGCACGCCACTGTTACCTCCATACCTATTTCTGTATGTATATTACGCGATAACTCCGGTATTTGTGAACCGATTCTGATGATTTTCTTTGTTGGAAAGAGGATACCTCAGAAGTGGTCCCATTTAAATTTGAAGACAATATTCCACCTCTAAGGCTACCAAACTAGGGGATGAATGACTTTTGAGGTCGGTTTTTTTAGTACTCCGTACTGAGACTATAATCTTGTTAGAATTAACTAAATTTTATTGTAAATAATCTCAGTAAAGAGTACTAAAAAAACCGGCCTCGAGTCATTCATCCCCTAGTTTACCACCTTTAGAGGTCGAATATTTTCTTCAAATTTAAACTATTAGGCATGTCACTTACCACTAGACGTACGACTTGTCGAAAAAGAAAGATGGTATTCCAGGAATGTCACTTACCTTCAATGCACAGGTCAGCTACGACACAAGCCCCGATCTGATTCCTCAAATAGCCGGCCTTGCAGAAGCAGCCCATGACGCACTGTTCGGTGCAGACTACAGGATCCGCAGGGTTCGTACAGTTGAGGGGGCAGGCAGTACCACACTCTTGGTATTCCTCGTTAAGTGGGCATTCATCTGGAAATTATTTGTTTTACGTGATAAAAATATTGTAATGTCACATAGTACAAAAAGTCTGATGGATTCTTCTGAAGATACTTCACGGGATCCGGATGATCATCAAGGGACTTCTTACTCGTATATCATCGTATCCTAAGTAGAATCAGAATTTTTATATATGTATGAAAAACAATATTAATTCCAGGGTATTTTTTTCTGTCTACATTTCGTGTTACAATGGAAAAGTTGATAGTCATTTTGGTAGGTTGTGTATTTTTAAATGTTATGATATATTTTTAACTATATATATTTTGCAAACACAACTAGACAGCCTCAGCCTTTCCATATAACAAATAAAATTAGTTGTGATTTTTTTATTTCTTAAAAAAACAAATGGACTATAGTTATGATTGGTGTTATAGTCCATTTGTTTGGATACCTACTTAACTGAATGTAAACAATCTTGAGATGTCTATTTAATGAAATATACATTTATGAAATTATTTTTACTTTTAGTAATTAGTAATTTAGTAATTTATTTATTTTGTACATAAAAATAAATACAGTTCAGTTACCGATAACAGGAACAGGAACATATTACACCTTATGGAATACGTGTGTTTAAGACATGTACTTTTAAACTTTATCTAAACCGGTTACACTGGCTCCTACACTAGGCAAAGCCTGTCTCGTAGGTAACCAATTCTAGAAAGGATGTAAAGTCTGTTCCAATCCATTCCGAACAAACAGCAAACAAGACTGTTACTTAAGAGTGTTACTTACTTACTTAGTAACTTACCTTCTAATACAACATACAAATGCTTAGATTCATATTAAATTGCTATTGCTATTTTTATACCTATTGAGTTGTAAATGTAAATTTCAATAAACAGATGTATCAAGATTGTTTACATTTAGTTAAGGGCCTTAACAAATTAATGGCCTATAACACCAGGTACAAGAAATATTAGTAACCTCGCCTAAATTACCATATAAGCTGTTACAGGAACTTGTTTTGTAGGTCAAAGTCAAGGCCATCAGCGGCCAAATGCAAAAAATCCTTCAAAAAAATATGTTTTGTAGCATTTGCTACACCCTATTATTATTATTTGCCCTATGATTTCATAGGGCCTATACGAGTGGCGCTCCGGTACTTCCACCTGGTGGGTTACTTCGATAAAAACTCATAGAATCGCCGGCTGTTGCTTCCACCTGGTGGGACGGGGAGCTGACATCGAGGATGAGCAATGACTACATCAACAAACATTTATGTATTTGGAGACATAGACATGGTCGTCTTTCTTCACCCTCCCTCGCTTCGTAAATATTTCTCCCGGACCAAACTTACTTCTGCGTGGCAGACCGGCATGGTAAAATAAAGTCATAAAAATAATGCAAACTGCATAAAACAAATTACGTAATGTAATTTTTATAGCTCTTATATTTAAACGTAAAAATTGTCGATTAGTTCCGTTCGTAAGATCTTTAAACCTCTCACGTGAAACTTTGTAATTTTGCAGTTGTTGCATTATTACACCATGGCTGCGAATTCTTAAATTCTATACAATTGTTGCTTATATATGCGATACCTTACTTTCTCAAACTCGTATCTTATAAAGAGTCATTATTCAGGAGATGGCAAAACTCACCATTTTTTTTTAAATTTCTTATCAAGAGTATTAATTTGGTAGTTTATATGAAGGAAATGTCAGGAAATCATCGTGCAAAAATAGTATATACAATCCATTTTTTGCATTTCAGTAACTGCTTTAAGATACGAGTTAGAGAAAGTAAGGCGACGTTATTCTTAATTGTTTGTAGAAGTTTCTTATAGACTTTCAATGCCATTACTAAGTGACGGGACGAACAAATCATGCGCCTGTTGGTAAGCGACACGCCTGTCCGTAACAGTTTCGATTGTAATAGAGCTCCTTGTTAAAGATTTTGTCCAGGGAACAACTGCCACCTTACCTATTTCGTGTGTGCGCATTACTGCGTTTCGGTTTTGAAGGGTAAGGGTTCTAAATTTTATATCATTTCCAGAGAGACAATGTGGCCATGAATAAGTCCATCGGTCATGCGTATTCTACGAGGAGTATACCTGCTGGGAGCGAGAGGATGGTTTGGATCGCGTGCGCAGTCCGCAGAAGCGGTTGACTCATTGCAAAGCCGATTGTTTCTGAAGGCATGTTATATTTAATCAAAGCTCGATTAGAGATGCAAAAACTGCTAACTGCAACTGTGTCAGTGACAGTTGTAGTGTCACTCAGAGTTTTAAATCGCAAAGATCTGAGAGACGCTGTTATTGCATTCACCATTTTGAAACATAAAGTTGACGACTTCGTATTACAATGTAGCCGTGACCACCGACTTATCGTAAGTGAAATTTTTACCTAAACAGCGATTTAATAAATAAATAAGATGTTTCTTTATATGGGTGTACCTACACCCATTAATAAATTTAACATTACTTATTACATTACATTACATAACAATTAAATTGAATTTTATTAACGGAATATTATTATTATCAATGAGGTAAATAATTAAGAATTAAATTAAATTTACATTACAAATAATGGTATAATTATAATTTATTTATTTATATGTCAAAAGTGGAGTGTTCGCTTATAAAGTAGCACGTATCGCATACTGTCCTTACAATTATATTGGCCGAATCACTCACTCTCGTAAGAAAAGACCAATGGCTCTTTCTTATTATGGCGAAAAAATCATCTACTCTATTCACAGCAAATATGCCAGACGCACTACTCCGCCAGGGAAGCCGCAGCATAGCACGAAATGCATTGTTGTACTCTGAGTATATCAAAAGGTCGCTTAGGATTGGTCGTTTATAAGGCTGCCTTTCCACCAGAGAGATGCGACGTAATTATGGATTTGGCAAATGACAGGTTTTTTTTCTTAATTGTTCCATGGATAATACAACTCGTACTAAAATGTTGGAAAAAGCAAACACGCGTACAAACATGATGGATTGTAAATAAAATTGGTAAATTTTTGTACAGGAAATAATTAAAATCAATTATAAAAAATTCTTAATAATAGGCATTGACTTACAAATAAATGGACGACGGGTCTAATACAAAAACCACGAAAAAAATGTCCCAAGTCAACCTATTTAAACGTAGTGACATACAAAGGAATATGAAAAAGCTAAAACGTTGAATTTAAATTGTAATGTCATCGCAGTACTGTCTAATTTTGCTTGCTTCGCTGTCAGTCGAACAAACGAAGACAAAAGCGTGAATGACGCTCTGTATACGATTTTAACGCCCTATAAGTTCGGACACTTTTTAGCGCGGACCCGACGTCCATATAATAATTGTAAGTCAATGATAATAAGTATTTATGTAGTATGTGGCTGAATTTATTTGAATTTATGTTTAGATAACATTTTAACCGAATGTTTTAATTTTGAACTTTTGTTACCTCCTTGCTTGATCTTGAACCTTGAACCTGAAGTACAGCCAGCACGCCTATTTCTGCTACCAGGTAGCAATATGTGCTCACATACTCGTACATGACAATTGCAGTACTTCCCTGGACAAACTCTTTTACAAGAAGCTCTACTGTTACTTATACTTTGCTGGAGTTACTTTTGCTTGATAATACTTCTGGAAGGAGGAAAGTGGATTGCGGAACAAAGGCGTGGTACAGAAAACTTTATTATTCCTCGCGCCAGACCCAGGACAGTATTCAGAATTGGTAACCAATCTTCACTAGTTGGAGAGATACTTCAAGAAAAAGGAAGTAAGATCCTACAATTGTGAAATATTCACACCGGCAAATTTAACAGAACACAAAAATGTGGGAATATAAAATACCTAACAACCTTATTATTATAAAAATTAGACTTAAAGTAACAAAGGAATTAAAGACTTTTAATATCGACCTAGTAAAGTCTTCCTAAATAATTATTTAAAAAAATAAACAAAATGCATTTTTAGGTTAGAACGTAGATTAAAAAAGTACTTTTTAGAAAAAAATACGTAATAATAATGATAATTTATATTAAAAGTAATTGTATTAATATGTAATAAATATTATACTATTCAACTTTAATTAACAATATTATGCATACTAACTCCATATAATACTTACGAAAAAGTTTTTATTACACTTATTATTTTATATTGTATTATATTATGTTATATTATATTACAATTAGTATATTATATCCGTGTTCAACAGTAGGATGTACAAAATTTTAAGTTTATTGACACCCTATATTACCGAACTCACGCACACCACGAAATGTCAACACGAAGGAGTACGAACGCGCACACTACACATAGAAATAATAGGGGTTAAAGTATGAAATTGCCGATTTGTACTGAAAATC